AAAAGGTACCGGGGCTATCTTTCACTTTTCGGTAATAGTGACTAGATGTAATAGCAAAAACCATTTTAATTATTTATGTTTGATTATTATTTCTTAACAATGATTAAATTTGTATTTGATTAATTTCATCAATCCATGAAAAAATAACTTCAATATTAATGTCTTTTTTTTAAAGTACCTGGCTATTCGTCACTTATTAAGTAACAGCGACTTGGTATGTAATAGCAAAAACCATTTAAATTATTTATGTTTGATTATTATTAATCAACAATTTATGAAATGATTATTTGATTAATTTTATCAATTCATGAAAATGCTTACCTCACCATTAATATTTTTTTAAAAAGGTACCAGGCCTTGCCTCTCTTTTTAAGGAATAGTGACTAGATTTGTTACAACAATCATTAATTGATATTATTTTTAAATGGTACCGAGACTATTCCTCACTGATTTGGTAATAGTGCAAGCAAACACCAATTAATTATTAATTATTTATATATATATTTTAAATGGTACCAGAATGATCCCTCACTAATAGTGACTAGATATGTAATAGCAAATACCAATTTATGAATATTACATTTACATTAAAAAAAAAGGTACTGGGATTGTCCCTCATTTGCGCAGGCGTTTTCATCGAAATAGGTAGGTACTACCAAGTAGCATTTGACACATAATATCAATATTCTTTCTAATAACTGCTTTTCTGCTTCTGTCAACGACCAAGCTGGGCCATGTAAAAATAGAGTTTCAGAAACCAAATGATTATGCTAAATATGCTCCAAAATGTTGTGATTATGCTAAATATATTGGAAAATTTTACACTAATATCAATATTCTTTCTAATAACTGCTTTTCTGCTTCTGAATCTTAAAAAAGTATGATTATTATTATAGACCCATTTTAGAATAAGGTACTGGCACCTAGCGAGGCCTTTTTTAGACCTGTTACAATCAAAGAACAATTTTGTATGACAATATAATTAAATTTTTAACTCGGTCACAAATTACACAATAAACCATCAAAAGAGGATTATAAAAATGTAGGTATATGTTGAGAATTTTTAGTAATAATTACTTTTTAAATTTTAAGATAAATTTGATTAAACTTTTTGTCAACGACCAAGCTGGGCCATGTAAAAATTTAGTTTCAGTAACCGAACGATTATGCTAATTATGCTGGAAAATTGTGTGACTATGCTAAATATACTGGAAAATTTTACACTAATATCAATATTCTTTCTAATAACTGCTTTTTTGCTTCTGAATCTTAAAAAAGTATGATTATTATTATAGACCTATTTTAGAATAAGGTACTGGCACCTAGCGAGGCCTTTTTAGACCTGTTACAATCAAAGAATAATTTTGTATGACAATATAATTAAATTTTTAACTCGGTCACAAATTACACAATACGTTAACCATCACAAAAGGATCATAAATATGTTTATGTTGAGCATTTTTAGTAATAATTACTTTTTTTATTTTAAGATAAATATGATTAAACTTTTTGACAACGACCAAGCTGAGCCATGTAAAAATAGAGTTTCAGAAACCAAACGATTATGCTAAATATGCTGGAAAATGTTGTGATTATGCTTAATATATTGGAAAATTTTACACTAATATCAATATTATTTCTAATAACTGCTTTTCTGCTTCTGAATCTTAAAAAAGTATGATTATTATTATAGACCCATTTTAGAATAAGGTACTGGCACCCAGCGAGGCCTTTTTTAGACCTGTTACAATCAAAGAAAAATTTTGTATGACAATATAATTAAATTTTTAACTCGGTCACAAATTACACAATAAACCATCGAAAGAGGATTATAAAAATGTAGGTATATGTTGAGAATTTTTAGTAATAATTACTTTTTAAATTTTAAGATAAATTTGATTAAACTTTTGTCAACGACCAAGCTGGGCCATGTAAAACTAGAGTTTCAGTAACCGAACGATTATGCTAAATATGCTGGAAAATGTTGTGATTATGCTAATTATACTGGAAAATTTTACACTAATATCAATATTCTTTCTAATAACTGCTTTTCTGCTTCTGAATCTTAAAAAAGTATGATTATTATTATTATAGACCCATTTTAGAATAAGGTACTGGCACCTAGCGAGGCCTTTTTTAGACCTGTTACAATCAAAGAACAATTTTGTATGACAATATAATTAAATTTTTAACTTGGTCACAAATTACATAATAAACCATCGAAAGAGGAACATAAAAATGTTTATGTTGAGAATTTTTAGTTATAATTATGTAAATTTTAAAAATTTTAAGATAAATATTATTAAACTTTTTGTCAACGACCAAGTTGAGTAATATTAATAATAGGTATAAATCGAGTTTCAGAAACCAAAGCATTATGCTAAATATACTGGAAAATGTTGCCACTATTAGCACATAAAAATAATGGCATTATGGTCAAGTTTCTGAAAAGTGCTGTGAACTCCTAATAAGATATGTCTTATTAGGAATTCGACCGGCAATGGCACAATCACGTCCTAAAGTGAAATTGGTACATTAAACAATACGATTGCCTTTTGTACTTCTATTTTTGGATTTTGAATCTGTTTAATTTTGAATACAGTCAATGAAATTATGTATTTCTATTTTCCATTGTAATACCTTAAAAAGGCGCATTAATTTTATAAGGAGGTCTCTCTGTCAGCTGGTTAACCCAAACTCAGAGTTTCTTTTAAAATGGCGGCACAATAACAAAATGGCGCGACTGCATTTTGTCAAGGTTGTTTAAAATATCGTGGGCAAAATACAAAGTACCCTTTGAAAATGGTAAGCGTGAGTTTTTGAACGGGGCCTTCCGAGACGGGCCATTTAGGGTGCCAGTACCTATTTTAAGTATAATCCACGGGTCACTACTATATTAAATATTTTTTACATCACAATAATAGTATTTTAGGTAACCATCACAAGCGTTTTATAAGCGCATATAATATCTACTTTTTTCAGTATACTTTTTAATCACATTCATATAATAAGAGTATTAGAAAAATTACTTTTCTAAAACATCCTTAAGTCTAAGAATTATATTTATCGTTAGGTACTAGCCATTATCTATGATTTCATCGATGTAAGAGAAATTATTTTAAATTACATTTAAAATATATGAGCAAATTAAATTGTGCGGTGGACGTTGAAACTTTAATTATAATTAACGTTTAAATAAATTAATATTAATAAAAAATTTGATTCGTAGCAGTCATTTTCATAAGAATCTATAACCGAAATACAAAATTGATTATTTTATTCTCACTCAAGATCTTACCGGGTGCTCTGACGCCAGTCTAATGAAACACCAAGTAGCAATTAGTTACGTGTAGATGCTATGCTACAACATATATTCTAGGTTTGCGATATTTTGAGTATTATGCGATATTTTGTGTATTATGCGTAATTTTGTGCACTATGCCACATTATGTGAGTGTATATTACAAGAATATCTTGGTCAGTTCAATCTCAATATAAATTAATTAATTAATTAGTAAGCATATGTACAATTATTATATATTATTAGATAATATATAGGTAAAGACCTAACGGCTACCACTTAATATTTGTATATTCTAATTCTAAGTGTTAAAGTTTAATATAAATACATAGACGAATAATTATCAAAATATCATAAATACAAAGCTAGAAAAATGAGTCGTACTTTTTAGAAAGAGAATAATAAAGTCGAAAGGATATATTTCTAAAGAGATCAGTAGTTTTCGTTTTAAAATTAATTTATATTTATTATGCCAATCAGTCGTTCTCAGTTCAGAGAAACTTCCAAAGATTCCAGTCGTAAAATACCTGGGTTTTAAATAGTTTATTTAGCACTGACTTTAAATCAGACTTTATTTTACCCTTATTTGGGTTATTAGGACCATGTATCAAGTATTTTTAATGAGCAAGTATAAGTCATTATGAGTATTAATCATTATCACTTCCACCATCCATTCTGAATTGTGGATTTCACAAATTTTTGAAATTTTCTTTCACTTGAATTTTATTCCGAAATTTAAATTAATGTTTATTTTTTGCTCCTAAGATTACAGAAGTCATTTGAAATATCTTCTTAGTTCTGGTTTTTTTATTTAATTATTAGAATTTTATTCTCAAATTAAAAATGTATTTTTTATTATTTGCTCTTAAGGTTAAAAGTCATTTGAATTTTTTATCAGTCCAATTTACAATTTGATGAATTATATTCTATTTTTTTTTCTAAAATTTAATTCAGTCATCGAAAGTTTTAGGAATCACAATATAGTTTATTTAATTTTAAACCTTTTTTAAATGAAGGTCATTTTGGCAAAAGTCTCACATTTAGGCAGATAGGTAGGTATCTTGAAATCCCTTTTGTGCTAAGACAGAAATATGTAAAACCCTCACAAGTTGTAGAAAATAATTTTCATCACAAAAAAAAACCTTTTGTGCTCTAGAATGAAGTATGTAAAAAAAGTTTTATAAAAACAGGCCAATAAATATTAATAAGTATACAAAATTCTGGTATACTCTAAACCTCTAAACTTATATATAGAATTATGTACATTCTAATTAACTAATTATTATGTTATATCTAACATTTGTGCTTATTGTATATGCGACATCATCACCATTATGGGCCTTATTTTGCTCAATAGTTTTTATTTCAGTCCTAAAAGACCACCTACGTTCGTATAATAATATTATATTCGTACAATAATATTATAATATTAAACTTATTACTATTATTACACTATCACTACTGCATCCACAATATTCCTTGGTTTTTACTGACAGACGAATTAAATAGTCTGTATATGTACATAAATCTCTATAAATATAGTACATTATAATATATGTACAGATTCGTCTCAGTAACTTAACTTATCATGTACTTAATTGTAGTGTTTATATTATAAACTTATATTATATTTCTTATCTAGGTACTATCTTAAAAAGACTTACTTAAAATGTCTTTTATAATTGTATATATACATCGTTAATATACTTAAAATTAATACAAATACATTTAATGTTAACAATACATAACCTACCTATCAACTATGGATTTAAGTATCCCTATTTTAAACGAGTACAATTATCGTGTATTTTAACGAGTACATATAAAAGAAAGCACATTCGTAAATAAATAATTAGTAGTCTAATTCAAAAATTTTTTCTTCACTTAGTGATAATAATCACAGTTGGCCTATTCCTATTTAACGTTTGAGTTTGTATAAACACACACGAATACCTAATAGTGTTCATTTATATTATGAAGACGACAAATTCGTCCAGACTTTCCATACTTTGTGAGATTCATGTACCTCAGTCTCACTTTTCCTACAGTCTTAAACAATACCTATTCACATGACATTACATTCTACGTGTTTTAAATTAATCCAGCTTACCTATGTTATAATTTAATGTATTTATATAACAACTGTAAACTACTGCAGCGGATCTTATATCTATGTTAAGTTCACAATGAAGTAGGTGGCACTGTGATCAGGTTATCCTCATTCAAAATTATCGCACGAGAGTCGTATATAGACATAAATGTCTCCTCTCTTCTCAGTTCTTTCGGATATTTTGTAAGTGAAGAAAGAAAGAAATTATATCATATTTTAAAATAAAGTTTAGATCGTATAGTCTGAACCACTCAGAGATCAGACAGATCAATTAATCAAAATACATAATCGACGAAAATCAAAAATACATCTTGGATACTTTTGAAGATGTTATTGGTTGGTCGGTGCAAGTTCGTATACAGTTGTGCTAGAAACATAATGTTAGACGTATAGAAATTATAATAAAAGGATTTGGCTCAAATGAGACGAGTATGGGAAGTACACCCTACTGAGTGTACCAAAATATTTGATGTGTGTATACCTACGTATGAAATGTACCAAATAGTTAGTGAGATTGTGGGCGCATGCGCGAGTTTTTCGGCCTAGTTAGTGACGAGGCCGACGCGATTTATACTGTAGCCGCGGCTGCCGATATCGTGGTGTGCGTGCCGGTGTGCCTGCGCCTGTGTGTGTTTGGCAGTAGGACGCGCAGCGCGACCTAGATCACGTTAGTAGTACCCGGACACACCAACATCCCGAATGACCAACTACATAGTATAATATCGTTAAATGTGCCCCACATCACCTCAATTTGTACAGCGTAAAGGGACTATCTCGTAGAGGTAATCGCACGAAAAATACAATTTTATTTATAGTTATTGATTGCAACTATTTTGTGTATGGTAGATGGATTTCAGTAGTTGTGTTTATAGCAGGCGTAAGCGCACGTCATCTAAGCAGAAACCGGTGGTGCACGCTAAAACTCAAAAAAAATCTGACACAACCTGGCAACTGACCTGTATCCAATATGAGAGTATTCCAAGGAAATACCTGGTGTATTTATTTTATAGATGGAAATAAGCGTCTATTCCTTCAAGTGTCTCTGGAATAGTTCGAAGGTTAACCATGGGAATACTCTGCCCCAGCCTAATAGATGTTGATGTTAAAACATAGGCTGGGGGTGACTGGCAAACTCAACGAATGGGCCTCCGACAACTTCCTGTCGCTAATACGTAGCAACACGGAGGCAACATGCATTGAGCTGCTAGAGGATGGACAAATTTTCCAGGGCTAACAGGGTAATAACAGTCAAAACCCTCAGCATTCTGAAACACTTCCATCCCCTCGAGTCTCCTTCTGCCACTCTTGCGAATCTCCACTCAACCCAGTCAATTGTGACCAGAATGAGGCGAGAGGTCTGTTCCTCGTCAGTATTCACTCGAATCGGTCGCTACTACGATCCGGAGATGAAGAACAAGACTCCCTGGAGTCAGGTCCGTGGGGTCGCCACTGCCCAACAGCTCGCCACTAGCTGCCTTGCGGACTTTTTATTAAGAAATGAGTACAGTAGTCAGTTAATTGACCAACACTAAGATCCATATCGACACTGCTAAGTATAGTTCCTAAATATATTCGTTTTGATTAATTCCAACTAGCCATGTTTTGTAACATGGCGTATGAATCAATTGTAGCGGACTTCATTACCTTCGTTTTAATTTTAATTGGTGAGCTTTTAGTTCTATTAATTATTGGTCCTTGAATACGGGAATTGATCTAAATTATATCGAAATAGTTAAGTCTTAAATACATTAAATGTTTTTTAAAATGAATCCAAAACCCAATAAACTATATAAAATTCGATTTTGTATGTACTATATTATACTTATTTTGTAGCAAGAGTATAATATACTGCCAGAGTTACTTTTATCAGCCTGTTTCCGTCTTGTGGTGGGCATTGAACATAGCACGTCACTGAGCACAATCTTCAACTCTTCACATTTACCCAAGAACATAGCTTCGTCTAACATAGCAAGTCAACTTCGGAAAAGTATCTATATTGCTAGTTCTACCAATAAAATTAGTCAATTAAGAACCTAAGGCACCCACATAATACCTGAATAAACCCTGATTAGATCAGTTATAAAAAGTTAATAAGTTCAGTCTTCATTTAATTTTCAATTGTATACGAAAAATTCTTAAGAATGCATATTATGTTGGGGACACTCTTTCTCGGAAACCCATGTACAGCACCAACACCACCTTCTATTTTGTTGAGCCAGTGCAGCCTCACTCTGATCCAGCCAGCGTTCAATTTTCGCTTTTGTTACAAATACGTTATGCGTCTCACTAACTGGATTTGGTATTTCAGATTTAATCATATTTTCTGAATCTGTTTCGGATATATTTTCTTGAATATCCTCGGCAGGACAGCCATACGTTGGCTCTCGAGAGGGCCCGGCTTGAGGTTCCATAATTTCAAGTTTAGGTGTTTTATAAGGTGGATAGTCCAATAAACTCATTGGTGTTGGTACATTAACAGTTCCAGAAGTAGCATTTCCTGTAGTATTTGATTCTGGAGTTTCCTCTTCAATTGTGATCGTGCAGTAGCCTACAGTCATTATAGACCTGTGTCATATACTACATTCTTGAATGTAATAGCTTATTTGTAAGCATGACTTTACAAAATTCTCATCAGACAAAATTTTGGCAAGGTGACATAATATAGAAAATAATTTATCTTTAGGAAAGTTTAATTGTTTATTACAAATATCTACACATTGTTTTACTTCTCTGTTTATGGTGATTGCATCTATAAATCGTTTAAATGCAATTCTTTTTCTTATTTTTTTGTTGTCATTGTCTCGGTAAAAGATAGTAAACTTAGCTTTTCTAAAAACTGGATTTAAACAAAAGCTCATACCAGCCATAGTTAAGCCCGTATGAGAGCGACGCACTAGGCTTTTAAATTTGTAAATTATATTTCTTTTCTCCGAGAATGGAATGCCATGGCAATAGGGCCGATCAACGTATACTAATGCTTCCATTATTTTTACATTAGAAGACTTAATGTCTTCTTCACGCCAAATAATGTAGGATTCGCTTTCCTCGCTGAAAGTGTAAGTATATACTTTTGTTAATCCCTGTTCCTTGGCTTGTACGAACGATCCTGTGTGCGGATATCGTTCGTCTTCCATAACAGTGATGATTCGAGCAACATGGTAGCCGGGGTCCCCTAATAAAAAGCCTCGCCTACTGTGGATTTTTACGCGTAGGCCGGCTAGCAAGTGCTCTTTATCGGGGATGTAAAGATCATGTGCTCCGCTTGTTATTTTAGCGTCAAATATCACGTTTGGTGCAGATTCCTCACAGGAAAGAGGAGCCATTGCCCATACTAATTCGGGGAACTTAAATCGTAGGCATTGCCAACGTCGAAGGAGTTCCAGGGTCAATCCGACACAAGTAGTACTTGGTCGGTATATAACGGGTCAGAAACTCTGATATGCCTCGTACACTGAGCTACTTGTATTGACATTTTGAGTATAATTGTGAAACTCTAAGAAGTTGCTTATGGAATCGTAATTTACACTAATTAATAATCTACGGAGAATATTTTCCATTGAGGCTACGAGTTCCCTGTAAGACTCATTCGTTAATTCTAGAGGTTTTAATTTCGGCCCCCATTGACTTTTCGGTAATGGACGGTTTACTCTAGAGTTTGTCCAGTTTATTATTTCAGGGAATTGTTTGTAGGGGGCAGCTGGGGTGTCAGAAGCCGCCGCCGTTAGTCGCTGGTAGTAGTCGCCCTCCACCTTGAAACAAAAACTCCTGTTAATTCCATAGAATGGCAAGAGGATAAGAAATTACAAACAACCGTGCAAATAAAAATGTTTCGTAAATAATGTAATAAAATTCGTGAGCAATAATTTTAAAAGTTTCTAGACTCTACGTACGATACTAAGGGCATTAGGCTATTGTTATGCAAATCAAAGATATAAATGTAATAATGGAGGTATGTAACCGTCATTTTATTTGTAAACTACAACGTGATTACAATGTAATCGTGACGTAGGTAGGACCTATCCAGACAATGTAATGGTAACCCATTACGAATTATATACTAAAAAAAACCTTCGCTATTGATCATATTACGTATTTTCCATACAAATTAAGGTAACGGTAACTTAATCGGTATTCAATCATGTATATATATACAACATATATTTAATAGAATATTGTACCTAAAATAATTCTGCTTTGTGTTTTTAAGTAGGCGTTATTAGGTAAATAACAGATTTATTTATTTATTTATAAATAATATTATAAAGCGGTTAAATATTATACAGGTTTATTTACGGACATATAACACCTTGTATATTATATTATTCTAGGTTTTCCTCGTCATACCCAGGTGTTTTCAAAGTTTTTTTAATTCTTTATTTACTAAATACTACTTTATCTCGTCGCAAATGGACTTTTAAGACTTAACTTCAAGATAATATTGAAGGTAATTTTCTAATATTAAAAGATACGTTAAATTCATTATGATACCATTTAGATATTTTTGGCTGTTAAGTTGCACGGATTGTTTTTACTTGGAAAAGGAATTTAGTGCCTTGGTACGTGCATTTTTGTTGTACCTAATTTTCGGATATTATGTTTTAAATTAGTCGCGGACTTTATACCTAGACTAGAATATTTAGATGAAAACTATAAATCAGACCTAATAATTTTGAAACACACTATAAATGAAATAAAATGGAAAACATACACAAAACAATAAACAATTTTTGCAAAATTATATTTAATTTATTAATGATCTCATAAATTAATACCGGTTTTGTCATTACAATATATATTTTTGCTTTACAAAAAATGGTATTTTAATATTACTCTATTACAAGTTTACAACAGACACACGTTTTCTATTCTGGTTCACTGTCAGAAAAATAAAAAATAATAATATTTATTAAGTACAATAAAATGCAAGAACAAACCAAAGTTCTAAAAATGATATTTAGCCTAGAACAATTGATTTTCAAACTAAAATGGCAACACCAAACATGAGAATTTATTTTAGGTCGTAGTAAATTATTTCAAAAATTAAAACATCATATTGCAAAAAGTAACAAATGACGATTTGTCGGTTGTTTTGATTTCCGTAATTTTTTTTTACAGAACATTGTTTACGTTTTATTACCTGCGATTATTTTTTTTCGATAGGAGAACTTAAACTAGATGAATCCCAGAAATGTTCCCACGCAGTCGGAGGTGCAGGGGCAGGGTTGTGAGCTGGTACTTGTTACGATGTACTAAATAGTTCCTACATTAGCATTGCCAATGAATGAATAATGTGTAATACAAATGTGACGGTGATGTGGAATCCATTTTATGAAATGATCAGACACAGTAAAAAAAAATTTGCTGAAAATTCGCTTTGTGTTTGCTGTGCATCCGCGTGGGCAATAGTCGCTAGCTTGACTATAGCTACCTGTACCTGTTCATAATGAACGGTTCTGGGCTGCTCATGAGGATCTCTTACTATCGCCGATATGATCCTCGCGTGACGTCAGCCTACACTGCGGTCCCGTCTCGAAGACAAATGATTTTTTCTAATTTGACCGTAGTCAGAACCGCGAACCCCGGAGTCGGTATATTTCCTGCCGTATGTGTACGTTCCTCTTCCCTCTGTGGCATTAAGCTGCCTATATGCAACAGTTTGCACCATTCCGCGACTGCACATCTCTGCCCAAAATTCGGCCTAAAAAAATATTCGACGGTAACACAAGATGAGAGAAGAATATATCTGTCTTCCTATGAATTGTTGTTGAATAGAAACTTATTCTTAGTGAATACACACTTCGAATCCTGTGGTTATTTATACAATCATAAAGATCCAATTTTTAAAGTTAGGCACGTAACCAATCATTGATTGATTGGTTACGTGGCTACCAATCTATTCCACCAATTATTTTGACATATGTTCATTCCACAGATACAATTCAGTTGTATTTTGAGACATGTTCACAAGTTACAGCACTAGTGTCGCGTTTTTCAGTGCCCGGATTCATAAATTTTCCTAAAGCCATACTCCTAGGTACGTTATATAATTTACAAACTTACGAAATGCTCTTTATACAGTAGGTATTGGATTTCTGTGGCACTTGTGAACATAAAATATTGTTTTTCCATATGACTCGAAAAAATTAGCAATAATAAATGGTCTCCATTATGTTATAAACAAATTTTTAATACAATCTTACATGATTGTAGTGCACTACCAGTTCAACCAGAAATTTGTTTCGTTTCAGTCGTCGCGACTATATCCAGTAATTCCTGTATTGACAGAAAAGGCACATACATGTTTGCGCAGAAGGCGAAATGACTTCCATTCATAGCGCACTAGATTCGCAAACGTGTCAAGGGGTCCATTGTGCTCGGGCCAGACACTTATCTACCTTTGCGAACACGTGTGCGCCTCACCTATTATTTATCCAAAGACCTCTTTTTATTACAATTGTAACTGAATTTTTATTGCATATCCGTATAGAGATTGAAATGTTACTTTAAAATATTATAAGTGTAACTGTACGATCAAAGGTGCAGCAAAAGTTGAGCTTGAGCGTATTATCTTCCTCGTTTCTATTTAGGTAGGTATGTTGAATGTCTTTCGGGATGGACTTACGAATCTGATAATAAGATGTCACTGGCTCTTATTTAACCGAAAGTCATAGGCTATCTTATCGTAATTGGGTCCGTAATTGCGGCTGCGGCATAAGTCGTGACGTGCGAGACAGGAATGCGCAAATCATAACACTCAGCGTGTGAATCGACCCAATGGCGAAGACCGAAGTCAGATAGTCTGAGCAACTTCTGGTGACAGAAGCCTGATATCAGGCCATTGACTAACTTTTTGGAGTTGAGCAGATAACAGTTCTTGATTAAAAAATAATTACGCTTACACTCATTTACTCAGTAAGTCTAAAAATATACATTTAATTATATCACGGTACGAGATATGATTTGGATTTTATTTTATTCGATTCTGAGGCAAACATAACCGAAATTGTTTAAGCCTGAACATACAATATACATAACAATAAAACGATGGCTCGCGCCATTCCTGCGCCATAAGGGCGTGGGCGGGTTCTTCAAATAATTCATTTACAGCAGTGTGCCCCTGATGAAAAGCGCTGTGCAGCGAGGCGGGCTCCGTGAGCATGTAGGCCACCTAGTTCGGCAGCCCCCTCCTTACTGGCCCCAACCCTGCCCCCTTCGGAGCAGCACGTAGCCCACCCCAAGGGATCCCGTGCCCCCGCGACCTATTTATTTCCTGCTTTACGTGAGGCGTTCGAGCCCATTCTCCGGACGAGCTATTGGACTCTTTGAAATTTTTTACTCGTGAATTTAGTACGTATGACAAAATTTAGTATCATCCTATAATATTACGTACTATATCTATTATTACTTACTTAGCATTACTTTTATATTTGCATTTATGTTGGACCATGGGCAAAGACCCATTCATTCAAGCATTCAATAAAAAAATTTATTCAAGTGTAACATGTTTTATTTGAGTTCAAAGTATTGAGAGGGGAAAGTAAAATAGATAAACGTTGGAATTTCGACCAAAGCAGAAACCAACTTTCTCCTTCATGTGTTCACTAGAGATTACAATTTTGATATAAGTGTCGACCTGCTTACGTTGAACAATGCATAGCTTTGTTTCCTATGAACCTGTTATCAAAATTAATAGGTGAATTTAGGAGCCTAATTTTAACCACGTCCCAAAATATATTGAAATGGAAATGTACTAATAGTGTTCATTTTTCGCAAACTGCAGTTGCACAGTACAATTTTGTACGAATCTTCTAAAACTCTTCATGATACACATGGCTGGCGAACCTCTCCAATAAATTGTTCAATGAAGTCTCCAACAAACCTACTTGTTTCGATGCCGAAAATTAACTGAATTTATTATGTTATTCATCCACAAAAGATTTTAAGTGATTCGTTATAATTTGATTTACATAGCAAAAGTGACTTAATAAATAATAAAGTTCCCAGATAGATTGGGCACAACACCAATAACATTAAGTTGAAGCTCTGTTTTTAATATGGTAACTAATGCCCGAATATTGAAACATTTGTTAAACATTATTTTAATCCTAGGCGACAAATATCCTGCGACACGTGCCGCCAGCGACGTTGGGTCAAGTAGACGTTTTATTGTACAAGTACAGCAAGCCTAAATTACCCTATAGGATATTTGAACAGTAATATTTAGGTCTATCTAAGTATACCGATCCTTCTTTGAAAGACAATAATCAGTTCGAGTCATTAAGGGTTGAGTTCGATTTTCCTAAACGAGTAATGCTAATACCTATGTCTATAATTAAACCTACCTCTTTTCTGTATCTCTTATCTTGCTCGTTCACTTCTAAGTCCACGTTTCCTTTCGCTGCGTCGATCGCTTCGACAAGCTTTTCAAGCAAATTCTGCGGTTCTTCGTCCAACTGGTCGTTACTCTAAATTACACGAAAAATGTATGATGAATAATTTAATCAAGATGTTCATATTTTATGTGTTGCTGTGTTGTGGAATTTAAATAACACTTACGGTTTTTAAGTCAGTGTCTGTAGATATTACAATTACCTCTGATGAGCGTTTCGAGCTCGAGGAAAGGGTCATATAATTCGTGGCTGTCTTTTTTATCTAAATGAAACATATTGATTAGTTATTAGTACAATAATGCTAGCTTTCATATTTAGTTCACAAAAATCAAGTTTTTAGGCTAAACTTACCATTTCTTGCTCGTGTGCTAGCCTTGATGCCCTTGTTTGTAGTCCACTTGGCTAAATAAGAAAATAATAATATTATCGTTATCAAGAATTACTATTATCAAGTGTTCTCACTTTTACATTATTTATACATGAATGTTACAAAATTATAATTAACAAAAATCTATATTACAAAGTATAAATTTTGGAAGTATTCAAAGGTAACCTACCCCTGCAACATCTATATCGTCTTCGCTGGTTTCGTTTTTATCACTTTCATCGTCTATCGTTTCGTTGTCGTCTGATTGTGCTTTAATCATTTCTTCGTTGATTCTTTCTACTTCAGTCATGTCGACATCACTCATATCGACTATAACCGTTTCGATTTCAGGCGGCTGAATGAGACAAATAATTCCACTATGAATTCTTTGAAAAGCACAAAATTTTGTATATAAATTAAAGTATTCCGTAAGCACAATGACACGACGAAAATTTAGTCCTACGGCTTTATTGTAAGATAAGAGATTGGAAAGATGGTGGTAGATAAGTAAGACTGGTCAGGCTGTTAACCACTAAGTCTGATAAATTGATACCAATTTTAGACTCTTGGGGTTTGCTAGATTTAGTTTGATATTTTCGTCTTTGACGTTAATTACACCGTCATTTAGAAATAAGCAATTGATATTATTTTTCCTAATTACCTCAGGTTCAGTATCTGAAAAGTCATCGTCGCTAGGTTGCTGATTGGCGTTCTCTATGTCTTCATTTAGCAATTTGTCCGCTTTTTCTGAAGCATCTTTGAGCACTTCTGGTTTTTCCTCTCCATTGTATTGGACCTGTACAAAATAATTACTATATCTACCATACTTGAACAATTTACTATTAATTTACCTAAGTCCTAATTTAACTTATCTCACCGTGGGAAACGCTCCACGCTTCAATGGGCTAGTTCGACTAGAGTAATATCACGACTTCATAGAAACTTTTTATACGTAATGTGTCGACGTTTGGCTAGTATCTCGCCTGGTGGTAAACAGTGCTGTACCCAACTATACAAAGTACGCCTACCCATAAGAAATTCAATAGAACCTTGAAGACACCTAGTTTATACGGTATACCCTTCAGGGAACAGAGACTCCGCAAAGAACCAGCTTCGCACCGGTGTTCAAGACTTTGAAGTCGGACTTTCACAAGCGCATCATCGTTGATGAACATCTTTGCAGCCTCTCGATGGGTTATATCAAAACTAGTATGAAACAAGACAACAAGAATGAGATTAACGGAGTACCAATCCCTCCTGTCCCAGGTTGGAAACGAATTGTCTGATGTTGCGGTGTTCATGAACGGCGTACGGCGCCTATTGCTTACCATCAGGTGACCCCACTACTCAGTTGTCGCCACACCCCATAAAAAATTCAAATTCCTATATATAAACTTATTTTAGTCTACCAGAAAGTTTGAGTACGATTTTTGTAACAATGTTTTAGGTAACTTTATATGGAATTATTGAACAGAATGTTTATTAAATTTATACACAGTACTATATATATAACTGGGGTGATTATCTAATTACTAGATTATGACTTAGACCAGTGTTCTATCGATGTTTACGCGATGTCATCTTTGAAAATAACATACCGGATGATAGCTCCCCAAAATATTATTCATTTAATAATTGGCAGGACAAATAAGGATGTGCATTAGAATTGTAACTTTCTAACATTTCTAATCGATATATAGAACATGACAAAAATGGATCACGTTCACTAAACGAAAGTAATAAATTATGATAAGTGTATGTTCATCGAAATAAAAATTGATTTGAACAAATTGAGTGTGGGGTACCTAAGACCGAGCATATTGAATTTTCAATCTCGATAGCTGTGTGTAGTCAATGGGTTGGAAAATTCACTTTCAGCCTCAATTCACATTAGTGAAGTATCGTAAAAGCTTCGAACTGTTTGTTCGACATTAAATTTAATGCCTATTATATACGGAATCGTTTAATATGTTTCATCTTATCTAACACTAACTGCCATGCGGTTTTACTTTCGTGGTCTTTTCCTAAGTCTTCAAGTCAAAAGTAGGGGTAACTTTGGTATGAGACTAAAAACTGAAATTACAGACAATTTTGAGGAGTGAGCCTAAAACAAATTTTCGAAAACTGAAATATTCACCAAACCAAAAATTGAACTCGAGATCTCTTATCCAAATCGTTTTCTTTTGTTTGTTAACATTATTTTATTTAAAGGTTCTAATACATTCAAGATTACGTACATAGGCATATATTGGCAGAGACGAGTATCTTCTATGATGAAAATCCATTAATATTTTATCTCTACTCGTTTATAAAGGGTACAAGGAACAACGTTATCTATATCTAGTCCGATAAGATTCATTTTAAGTTCACAATTTCTCAGCGCCCTATATTCAGATGGTTAGAATTTTAATGAATCAATTGTGGAGTCGTACGGCGCGGCGCTGCATTCGTTTGAGAAAATTCAATCAGGATGACCTAAATTTCTTAGAGGTGCTTCTTCTACATCTCTTTCTATATAATTTTATTGTCGTTTTGTGATCTCTTCTCTCTCGTGCTCCATAGTATACCGCATCGTTGCTTACCACCAGGCGAGATAGTGGTCAAACGTCGCCCCATCAAATATATATAAAAATACTTATTCTAGGTTTGCATTACTTTCGTTTATATGATTATATATTTCGTATATATATAAATCTTTGCTATTTTCAGAGACATAATTATTTAGGAGACATATTTTTTTCTTTTGGATGTGTCTACTTCTTCATCTGCATCATACTTAGATTTTCTTTCAATAATGTCATGACTTCTGTGTAATCCAAAATAATTTATTCAATCCGGGAATCGAAACCCCGTCTTGCTCGACAGATACATAGTTTTAGTTTTTGTGTGCATATGAGCAATTAGATATACATAAATTATTGTTCATATTTTTATTTATATAAAAAATAAGTAAGTTAATATATAAAATTATATATTTATTTATTGTAGACTTACCTTTGGGCCGGGTATATGATATGTCTCAACGGGAGGCTGTATACTTTCCTCCTCACAGGGACATAATGAGCACTGTAACAATGGAAACACGCCTTATCTCGTGCATCTATCAATTCTAAATATATTACTTATATGTTATCATCTTATCATACAAGTCAGAATAGATATCGACCTTATAAAAAAAAAATGAAAAGCAGTTAAGACTAGAACTGTCTTCAATCACAGCTTTAACTGTTGAGATATATTTGTGCGATAATGGTTTTAGATATACAGCAGTTCAATTGTTAAGATCTTCAAAAATTCTGGAATTTAGAGTGAGTAGGCACCTACCGTACTATATGTATTTATTAATAGGAGGATGGTACCTATTTATCAATTTTTGCATTTATTTTATCAGTCCCATTCTAAATAAAAATTAAAAAAATATTAAGACTTTGATTGCCAATAAAAAAATGTTGAAGATAAATCCTCCGCTAACGCCGGTCACCGGTGACCCCCATTGCGTTTAACGTGTTTAAATAAACAATATTAAAAATCCTATTAGAGTTTTGTGAGACTCCAGTAGCGAATTGGAGACTCTTTGCTCGACCACTCGAGCAACTAGTAAGTAGTTAGTACATAGAATGCGTTCTGTAGCGTAGTAGCGCAGCATGTGCATTGCGCAGACTGCATTAACTTGGTTTCAAGTAACGTCAACAAACTTTTACTTTTACACTCGCGGCTGCTTATTTCATTTTACCTAAGTGCAGCCGTTTGTGTTGTAACAGTGCTAATTGTCGTATTATATCTATCTATGGGTTGTTTATGAGCAATTAGCATGGAGGAATACTAAGTCGTTATAGCAGCTACATCGTATTAATTAGGTCCGCTTTGTGTTCTATAAAGTATGTCGCATGATAACGTGACCCCACTGACTCGCGCTAGGCCAAACCAATTCTGTGCGTTAACCGTTTTCGGTGCGAGCCGAATTATCGACGACTTCTGCTAACATAGCGGACAAATGCCGCATAAACCATTGCAGCGTTGCCATAGAGATACCATTTCTTTCGGGCCTATTGGGGCTTTAAGGGTCTTTTTCCCATGAAGCGTGTGCCACTTTCGGTTACGACGTTTTGACTTTAAAGAACGAAGAGGCGGAGAAGTGCCAAGTGCGCGGGGCGAGGGGGGCCTTAGACGCGCATACGTATAGAGTATAGAGTATAGAACACAATGCGGCATCGGTCTGCGTCGACGTGGTCTGCGCGCCAGCGTAGTAGCCGCCGCGGTTGTCATAAATATACTTAACATGGCAGTCGGTGCTGGCATAACACAGCCGACCGAAGCACGAGATGCCGTCCCCAGGTGAGTGCTGCTACGCGTCCACATCCACTTCCTTTACTTTTATCGGCGATTTTCTTTTTTTAATTTTGGCGTAATTCTTTATTTGCTAGCGAAATTTAACAGTAACTTCTAGTCGTGTTATTGAATCGTTGTTATCGTTTGCTCTTATCAAATGCCGCGTGTAAACCCGAGTTTTTTAATTTCCTGAATTTACTTTTTTGAGTTCGGCTACTTTTTTGTTCCTCATTTTTTCATTTATTTTGGGTGATTAACGGTTGGTTACCCGAGTTTTTGGCATTACCGTGTCGTCAATAGTAGGGCAGTATTTATGTATGCAGAAGACACGTTCTGTTTACTACGGCGCCGCGGCGGGCGGCGGGCGGGTAGCAGTGGCTCACGCCGCGACGCGCCGCGTCATGTGCCGCTCTATCCGAGTGCGCGCTTATCATTGTGTTCCGCATCACCGCATCACACCGTTATCACTGGCGGCTCGTGGTGGCGTGTTCAAGGCATTTTCTGTACCTACGTTGTCGCCTATCTAATATTTGTTTAACACGATTTATACGACGCCCGCCAAACCTATTACTGTAGCCGTATACCAGTACATACAAATTACCTATGAGCCGCGACTTGAACGCAACGGAAGGTAGTTAGAGGTACGACTACGAAACAAAGAAAACAAAATGAGCAGGTACATTGTATAACGCATGATATGCAACACGAGCCAGTGCGGAATGCATTGTTTGATAATAATATGAATGGGCCGCGTGCTAGTATGGATCTCATTGCTCCATAATTATAAATAATGTTCAATGTTCGATCAACTCGTTGTTGAACATAAATTGCTGTTCGTTTGTCTATCATTAACACGAAGCGTTGCTTTGTGTCACTTGAATTCAATTTGTCAAGTAGCTGGAGCTACAACTAACTAGGTACCTACTACTCTAACTCATTGTTAGGTATGAACAAAACAATTGAATTCCTTCCCTGATTCAGATTTTTTTAATCTGAGTTAGTTTTAGCACTGTCTTTAAACAGCTATGCTTTATATTTTTGAAATTGGCAACATTACTCATTCATTATACTTAGTTGGCAACTTTTATACATTTTGCACATGTTCTAAGTAGTCTGATAAAGTCTAATTCAAATCTGCAAGTACTAAGTACTCTGATAACGTCTAATACAAGTCTGCAAGTACTAAATTGTCTTGTACGGCAATGGCTACTAAGTCCACAATGCTGGCTATTGCAGAATGGCGATTTTGAATCTTATTTGCACAAGCATTTGGTAGTAAGTTGTAGCTACTTTCTTTAACTTTTCAATCAATATTGTAATCTAAAATTGTATAAAATGGTAAATTCTGAAAATCTATATAATAAACTCTGATAGCGTATATCAATAATTATTTTTGTAGGTTACCAAATTGCAATAACTTTGTAAATTAAAAAGAAAAATAGCAATACTGTTTCAATTAAGGACAAAAAGTATTAAGTTCTGAGGTAATACTAATTTACTCTTGTATGTCATTCAATACGTCAATATTCAAAAAACATAATACACATTCCAATCATACATACATAGCTATATACTTGTCTACATAATTATTTGGTTGAATATGTACTTACCAAAACAAAAGCAAAGGGTAAAGGTACATATGAAATAAATTAAATTAAACAAAACAGAAATATTTGCAAAATTAAAATTAAACAATAAAAATATATAAAAACCAAATTTATTCAATACAATAAATACATCAGTTGTTTCATGCCTAATTTGCAACAAGCCTTAGGTAATTTATAAAAAATACTTATTTTTTTCTAACAATTTACAAGATAAATAACACCATAGACATTGAAAATAATTGGAATGTTCATATAAAAGTAATCAGTCTGTAATTTCACATTAAGACTTAGATGATTATTCTCATTTATCTGTAGAATTGAGACTTAGGTATAACTACCTACATTTTAAGACTTGTAAGAGATTTCTAGAGACTGTACAGTGTACACAGTTTCTACTGCAGTCTCTAAATGATATTATATTAAATAGTTTCATAGTTTTATACAAATATTAATGACTGTACCTATATGGAAACATTTTGCAGTTCTCATAGCTAAGCCTCAAGTATTAGGCAGCTTAATGCCTTAGTGATAGATTTAATGAGACTCCTCCAAATTATGAATTCCCTTTGTACTATTGATACTTAACTATCTGATTCAAACTAAATCTTGTGGGATTTAAAACTATTTGTTTCCTATTTCTCTTAATTTTCTAGTGAGGGAATCAAGTTATGTAATGTGTTCTTGGTTGATCCCCACTGTAGGCTTGCACACAGGAGTTGAACTGGCCAAACATCCTCCCATGCATGTGTGAGAGAATAAGTTCCAAAACATAAAACAAAATACAAAATAAAATTATAAATAATTTAGAAATAATTAAATAATTGTAAATACATTTAATATATATATATATATATTTGTATTAAGTAAGTACCCAAAAGATGAAGTGCTCTCTCAGTAGGTGGGTGGCTTGGGTACATGTTCTAGGATTATAACCATGTAGTTATTTTGCAATACTGGTATGGTGAAAATATTATTATCTGCATACTGACTACAAAATATGCAGTATAATATGGTTACTCCCTTGAACAATAAGTACATTGGAAGTAACTTAGGTCAAACTGAAACCAAGCTATAGACTGTCTGCTCTACCCAAGTATGAATAGCGAGCCAGTTCACAGCAACTTGAATAATAAATTAACCTGAAAACATCAATAACTAATTGCTTACCTCGTAGAAATCGTCTTTGGGGTTGAGCGGTCTCCTCACCGCCAATGTATCAGGCAGCTTCTGTTGGAAGCGTCGGTCGGCCATCTTGATAACTAGTGGGCAGGCGGCAGGTACCTCAGCATGTCTGGTTTCTGTGGGTTATCTCCATGCGCTGGTCAGTCCGCTTGCCCCTAAAGACAAAATGAAACCCATGACTATCCAATTTACTGGTTTCCATTGTGTCCTGTGTTATGAGGACCTATAGTTCCTCACTTGCTGATCAGGGTTCACAAAAAATACATACCGAGTGGCGTATCTTGCGTTTAGATGAGAATACCTAGCGTCCCGAGTGAATACGGCCCGTTGCCATAAATTTTGGCATTATTAGAGTGCACGAAAGTACCGCGGTAAGGTCGATGACGAAGACTGAACTCACCAGTTTAAGTTGATCCCCGCCGCCCCTATGCGCGCGCCGATCGCTGTTTGAGATGGGTCCGAAGCGTCGCGCGTCGCTTCTTTTCGCGGTTCTTAACGTTTTGGGCGTCTTGTAACACCAGCTATAAGTTGCGTTAGTAGCTGCGCATTACGTTGCCCTAGTTATTTCGGGTGCCGTCCTAGATACAACGAGGCCGAAATGCTGTTTTCATAATCAGCAGCGTGTTTTATTCGATGGGGCCGCGATGGGCTACCCGGCGTCGCAGATACTGACTTGGATCGTTAACACCGCGTCACGTCCGCCGCGCAGCCGCTCGTGACATGCGCTCTGCAGCGTTTGCCGGACCAATCTCTGCACTCCCCTCACCGAAAATTATATCGATCGGAAAATGGCGGCGGCGTCCCTTATATTCCTTAGCTTTCAAATATGGACCCTAAATGCTTAATTATCAACCTAATATTAGAGATTATGAAATACTTACCACATATTTTATAATTTCTTAGGCGATATATGAAGGTGTGTAGGCCTATGTCACGTCTTTTGTCCCTTTTATCCCTATCGTATAACCTATATAATTTACCAAGTCATTATAATAATTAATTTTTTCTTACTGGTAGATATTGTGCCGGAGTATTATAATGATGAATCTTCAAATATTTTGTAAAATTGTTACCAGCACAATTAAAATATTTCGAGTAGGTATTATAACAATGGGGACATTATTGGATCGATAACCTATTTAGGATTATACAGCCTGAGCCAGGTAATAAAATTTAGGCTCCAGGCCACCTTTGTAGATAAAGTGGAGGCACATCCCGAATCAGAGCAGTAACATAAGTATATAGAGCTGATAGGGCCGTAGCACGCCGCGCGCTGGCCTCGAGCCTCGGGCCCGTGGAGCCCAAGGAGAAGGGGAGGTGATATGCCATTTAGTCCAAAGTAAGCCAAGGCCGGTCTGGTGGGGATAACGCTTACACGTGTGACCTACATAGATGCCGAGGGGCTACGGAAACGCACGACGGAGCACGACGAGCGCGCGCCCCGTCACCAAGTGCCGAGCCAACTGATCAATATCGACACTATCACGACCACATACTTACTCTAAGCTGCTCTAAGACGGCAGCGTTTATCTCGCCGTCCGCTTTAACTCCACGCCAGTCGCCATTTCAAACCCCAGCAGTATACCCACGGGCTTTCTTTGTTGCTGCACGTGAATTACAACACGTGTCTACACTACGGTCACTGACCTCGTAATTTATTTGCATAGGAGCCACCGGATCCGTCCTCCCACGACCACAGAACACCAATTTTCCACTTAATCACTATTTAATACGTCACTAGCTGTTTCGTAGGCACAGACTTAGTGCTCTACGGTGCAGTACTAAAATATGCCCCCTAAGGTAGGTAGTTGCCCACAGTTGATCAAAGGTGGCGCACGGCAGCCCGGAGTGCATCGATCGCGATTACATCACCACCCGCGTCCTTTCTCTGCGCGCGCAGCACGCCCCGTGCCCCCCTCCCCGGCCCCCGAGCCGCGTCCCTCTCGCAGCAAACGCCATGGCTCTCCGCTACGTGCCGCCATTCGGACTGTGGTCGTCGTCGGCATCGGTCGTGCTCTTGGAACTCTCTAACCACAGTGGAAGTTTAACTTTGGTTCAACATTTTCAAACTTAGTTTTTGTTCGTGCAATGTGAGGCGCGGTAACATTAACTGGAAATAGGGACTTGTAGTGATCGTAAATCAACTTTAAAGTGAATAAAAATATTTTATCTCGGTTTTAAAAATTTGTGAGTTGTCCGCGACCTACTTTTGCAACTTCCGTATAGTCGAGTTTCAACTTCGGGTTTTTTCTCAATCGCTCAAAAAGAGTTATAAGATTAGAAAATTCGGTCCGCGTTCGGTAGTGCGCTCATAGAACATTTACTAATATTTTTCCTTTTGCTTTGTCATGTGACTCGCGTCTCGCAGTAGTTCGCGCACGTGTCGCGTATACGTTTAATATTTTAATTACAGTTGGTGCTGAACATTGCTGAAAAATGAAGACTTGAAGAAAGAAAAATAATAATATGTCAGTTGTGTCGGGGGGAGGAATTGACTAGACTTTTTAAATACAAGTCAGTCTTTTTCTCTCTCCTATATGACTGGCAAACAATCATCAGTTATCATTCACATGCTGCGCCTGAGTACTCGTCGCTCCGCTTCTAGCTTGGCTATGTCCGCAGTGACGTCAGGGATTACGCAAGCTGTTATTTGATTCGGCTGCGAAATCACTGAATTTTCTGCTTGAGACAAGGCCGTTTTTAGAAGATCTTCATCGAAATTTATATGTTTAACTACAAATTATTTTGTACTATATCTATGTCTTTTGCTTTAGGTATCTATGTCGTAACAGTTCGGTTTGAGTCATTGCACCGAATGACGAAATCGAAATAATCGTCGGCGAGGCACGCTCGTGGCGGGAATTGGGCAATCTGCGAGCGAACGGATGTCTTGCCCCGCACCGCGCACTCCGCACTCGCTCCGCTGCCTAAAATTTAAACTTGGTCGAAGAAACAACTCAACGGACATCTACAAATTTTAAACTTGTTAAATTTTCCTTTTTGTTACAGTATGCATCAGTGCGAGGCGCCTGCGACGTTGAGCGGTGGCCTCTATTTATATAACCTACACGCCAATTGCGATTGATGTTTAGCTATTTGTCACTATGCTCACTATGTACTATGCATTGCGATTTAATAAAACTGTTTTATTGAAAATCTACTTGTTTTTACTGGTACTTATTTTTTATTTTGATATTATTATTTTTGACCCCTCACACTGAACATGGTAGAGAAAATTATTTAATAACTAGAAGACATATTCACGAACACACAGAACACTTTAAAGTTACACTAAACAGATACAAAGTTAGTGGGTGGCTCCACCTGGGACCGCCCTCAAAGGTTGCGGCCCAATAGCGAGCCGTATCCTTGTCCTTGATAACCTTCAAGGCTTCCGTGAAACCTCACTCTCAGACAGCTTAGAAAAAACACAATAGCTAAGCGAATGAAGTCTTATAAATAATGGCGCTATTATCAGCAAGGAACAATACACTATTTACTCGAACTATAGTAATATCAAAATAACAGTTATTGGTGAAATGCTTCAAGCGAATTTAATCTGCCATTCATTTCAAAATTGTAAAGAAAATTGTTAACTGATTGAACATGTCTACTCACATTTACTCAGTAGACAAACTGACTACCACAATATAAGTATGTGAGATTATAATGAAGTAACGCTACATAAAGTATATTCGATAATAAACAGATCAAAGAATGCAATAAAAATGCGATAGTAATTAATATTAAACTGATTTAAAACAATTCAAAGTATAATAACAAAATCGATCATTGAACCAAGACACGAGTCGGTGATAACGGTAATACCATTTTTTATACCTACGTTGATAACCTAAATTTGTGAGTAGGTATGACAGGAAATGGAACTGCAGTCAAATGTTCAGAATATGTTATAAGGCCTACACCTTATACGGATAATTATGTAAATAATAATAATGACCACATTGATAACAGAACAAACCACATTGTTCGTTGTTTACTAAAATATTTCAAATGTACCGTCGGTAGGATTTTATAGAAGTGGTGAATAATAGGGCGTTAACTAAACACGTGGTAAATCATGGAGGAAGTTTAAACGTCTAGCGGTAGGAAGAAAGAAATACAATAAATAGAAATACAACTGAAGAAATATATAATAGAGTTAGAAAGGACTATGGATGACTGTAGGGAACTGAACGCGGTAATGGCATTGCATTTATGCAATAGTGAATATTCATAAAAAGCTATAAACAAAAACGGTAATTAATAAATTGCAACAATTCATTATATATAGGTACTCGAATAAACAGGTATAGGGAAATCCATGTACAAACAAAACGTTACCAGTTCATAGTCAAAACACGGGATAAGAACTACGTAAAAAAATATATAATTGTAATACAGTACCTAATATAGCGAAAGAGAAACAACCTAGTATGAGCTTTTGTTAAAATCAAACGTGAAAGGGTAGGTAGAGGTGACTATTACGGCACGTTATGTCAAAGTAACACCCACGTTTAACTATTCATATTATTAGTCCCAATGTAATAGGCGGTGAGCCTATTGCCATTTGCCATATACCAGGCACAATTCCTCATTCCTTGTTACCTCTGATATTTTTTTTTAAAGTTGTACTTTGCCCTACCTGGAAAGACCCCTTGCGCAGTCGCACTTGCGACCACTCGGCCAACGAGGCATTTAAGTTAATCAAAATAGGTATTTGACCAGTAGCCTAGCCTCACATGCATAAACCTAGGTTAAAACTAGGGGCCAATTTTTCAATCATCAGTTAATTCTTAACTGTAGAATAAAATTGACATTTGACCGTGTTTAGTATGGAGAAATTGATTATTCAAAGTTATTCCTCAGTTAAAATTAATCTGGCTTTGGAAAAATTGGCTCTAAAACAAACTATATACCTCTAACGGGTGAACAAGATTATAGTAGTTAGTGCCATTATTCATCAGTATGGAGCAACGGAAACCTTTTGGATTTCAAACTTCGATCCAATATTACGGGGTGTTTTTAAAACTATTTGTAATTATAACTTTTTAATTACATACAAAATGGCCATTCCTAACATAGATTATCTTCAATTCTGGGAATCTGATAGTGAAATTCGAAAATAATTCGAAAAGAAAAGAATATTTTATTTTGTTTCATTTGAAAACGTTCATCACGAGACAGTGATTTAGAGAAGAGAAATTTTTCAAAAAGGTAGTTAAAGTTTTTTTTTTTGTTAAATCGTCTACAACACGTCGCTCTATCCGCAGATGAAAATTAAATGAAAATGTATTCAGCAGTTTTTGTGCTTATCTCATTCTGATGGACTGATGGAGGTAGTCCGGGGACTTTGTTTTAAAATAGTGATAGTGAAATGTTATTTAAATAGACGAGATGTTTAAAAATAAAGGGACAGTGACGAGAGGAAATCTATGAATGGATGTTTTGAGAAAGCGTCGAAGGTAGGTGGAAAGTGCTGGATATGTAGTGGAAGACGAAGTTATGAGAAACATGACGTAGGGCATAATAAGCAGAGCCTATAAAGGAAAAATGGAAAATTATACTTTCAATAATACGTTCCATAACAATAAACTGTTATGCATTAAATAAAACGTGGTTGCACACAAAGAAGGTAAAAGAAATAAAAAATATTAAAGCAGCAACGTCTCGGGCAAGCAAAGTATCTATTTATAACCATAAAAATTAGGAAGTGATATCAATTAATAAAAATATTTTTTATTTTGTTGTTGTAGTTGAAATACATACAAAATTCTATAACACACCTAATAATGTCTACATTTAGATAAACACAATTTAATTCGATGACAGTATAAAACTATTGGA